TATTTAAATGGCGAGGAACGATCAGAATTTCCCAGACACTCAATCATCATTTGGCCAAAGATTTCTTTTTGTTGTTTTTAAGCACATCCATTAGGCATTCTATGCGATCGTGTGATTTATGTCGTTTAGTTGAGCTCATTACTTGGCTATCTTGATTCACAGCAAATGTTGTGAGGAGCTGACAGTGAAATGGGTATTTAATTAACTGTGACTTGGTAAATATATATGCGAAAAATGAGAAACTTACACACTTGGTTCTTGCTTGGCATCTATATTTATAATTTTTCAACACCTAGCACACCGTACCAGAACATCATTCATTGCAAATAACGGCAGCTGTTTAAACGGTTTAATGATTATTTACAATATTAACGAACTGTTTACGCTTAAATGGTTAAAAAATAAAAAATATACTAGCTCTACTATTGTAATACTTACAAAAATATTGATGAAATTGCCTTTAATAATCATAGTGATTCACGCAATATTTCAAGGCTCGATTTAATCTATATACTTGGCCGGCCGAAAAATATCGTAAATCAATTTCTATATATTTCAAGTACTTCACATTAAAGTAGTGATTCACAGCTAGTCTATTTTGAATGAAGTACTTAAACGTCCCCAAAAATCGTTCCATTTTAATTAAAATCTAGCACTTAAAGTCTAATCAAGGAAATTCAATAGATTTTGGCACGGCCCAAGCGCTGTCTAAGGATGAGTAAGAAAATTAGCACTTTCATTTACCTATCTGTGTTTTTTTTATAGTGGAAATTCACCGAAGGTCGAGGTATTTTTGAATATAATTAAATTTTGATCAACTTTATAAAAAAAAGTAAACACTCTTGTGAGTTTCCTTATTCTATCTAAACTCTCGAAATCAGTTTATGACATTAAAACTCCCTCTATCTCAGCATCCAAAGCCCCCAATTCAGAGTGCTAAAAATTCAATAAATATATAAAATAATTAACGATGAGTTGGATGAATCGGTGGATCGGCGGATTGAGGCAGATGGAAACCAATTGGGTCCGGCGCAGAGCAGTCTGCCGAATGTATATATATCTTGGCTTGACCAAGTGTTAATTGTTCTTAGCCATTATTAATTGATTGAATTAATGAATGAATGTCGGCTAATGATAAGGCAGACAGGAATCGAAGCAAATGTTGCTGCAGATGATGAAATGCCGGGGGGATAGTTGGATGGATTGTAAACAATGATTATGAGGCAGTGAACTTGAAAAGGTTATTAAAAATTCAAGTGCGGTAGCCGGGGCGCTAAGGCAAATAGCTGTGCTCATATATATTCGTAGCTGTCTGACCCACATGAGAGTGTCGCCGTTTCCTCCAGATACATGTCACTATATATATATGCACACATATATACTAAGATATAGCCGACTTTTCTGTCGCTTTCGTGGCACTAGATTTACAGTTCGGCCAGCTCTCATAAAATGATTTGCAATTTGCTTAAGCCAAACACAAACACAAGCCGGAGTATGGGCCACGAATTCTAACGCACTCTTATCTCCAAAAAAACCCACAAGATTTCACAGATCTGTGAAAATATCGCTTACTTAGTCAGCGATCTCAGTGCATTATGAGGATTCTGATCGCTTTTTCTGAAAACCTTCTGATTTAGCTACTTTAAAGATACTTCTACTGTAACCGCAATAATAAATGATTCATGTCCAAGTTTATGGGCATTATCTCTTGAGACGATAATAAAGTCATGACAATTGAGGCCCTAAAGTAATGACTATCTATAAATACTAAATTTAGAGAAAGATATAAACAAGTTCCCGAGTATTTAGATAGTGGAATTTTTCCGAAAAATGAATATGCGTAGCCAAAACTAATTAGCATATCAAAATCTTTGTGAAAATACCGTTTTTGGTGGAAAACTAGTTTACATACCAGACCAGCATTCTCTGTGACAAGATTTGAATATATATATATATATATATATATATATTTTCCATAAACCGACTTTGAGATGTTTGGGGCTTATCTTATCTTTGTGGCAGTGGTTTATCTTTCGCGTTAGTCAGCCTAGTATAGCTAAGTATCTTGTGATGACTCGTGAGGATTTGGTGTCTTTGTGTTTTTGGTGATTTTTCTTGTCATTGCCATTTAGTTGGGGTTATGCAATTTCATACAGATTTGATTAATAGGTGGTTCTATAGCCTATAGCCTTTCCGAAGATATTTGCACGTGCCTGGCCTCCAATTAGCACCCCATCTGCTACTGCCACTAATAGTTACATGGGCTATCATGTGGTGTCTACGATAATTGCATAAGCCATTATGACTGGAAGTCGCATCAGATCGCATTGGATCTCCCATTGGCATCCGGGTGACTCGCTCAGGAGGCCAAATGAATCAGTCTATATGTGATATATATATACTATAGTACGCACTCGATCTTAACCGAGTCAGCTTGGGGCAGATCAGTGCAGATTGTGTCTTGGATGCTTAATTGAAATGTTCCGCACTTTGGGATGAAGACAGTGTGGGTGCGGGCTCTGAATCGCAATGTCTAATAAATAAATTGACAATTATACGAGTCCCTCTTTCCCCGAATTCATTGTATCTATGGGTATCCACGAGATACACGAGATTGATAAGCGGCGGTGCTGTTTGTCCGCCTGATGACGTCGACAGCCTGCACTTTTTGTATTATTCCATTAGGATTGACTGCGTAGTGTAAGATTAATGCTAATGGTACTAATTTTCGTGGAAAATATATCCTTGTTTCTATACAAGTATAAGAGCTTGAAAGGCATTTCAGAACAATCTATTTTCGATAACAAATATGGGTTATAAGTTGGCCTTGAGACCGGGTTTAACGAACTTAAATCGTTCAATAGCTCATTGGGGCTTATTTACACAAAAGAAACGTAAATTTTGTTTAAACATAAAGTTGACAAAACCAAAAACTCACAAAAAGAAAACGATAAATGAAAGGAACAATCGCTTGAGTGCTAACAAATGTTCTTTAGACCAAATTCTTGAGAACCAAGAAGGCCAAAACATTGCGGATATGGTAACCGATTGTTCGATTATATATAAGCATATATATGTACATATATATTGGATGAGCCCGCATCTCTGTTTGTCAACATCAATATAATCTTATATCTTTTATACATATATCCATATCATATCCATATCGTGACGTCGGAATACCGAAATTGAGACACAAAAACCGAGAGACGAGACAATAAACGACAACGTCGTTCGTTTAAGCAAACAAATAAATAATTAATAAATTAAAAATGAAACGATAAAAATTGCTTGACGACTTGGTGGCCTGTCGCTGACTCTTTTGTTTTTGTGCCCAATGAACGTATGTACGTTCCATACGTATATGGACCCATTTGGAAGTTGGAGGCGGGGGGCCTTTTGTTTTGTTTGTCCACATCTACCCGTTTGTTTGTTGTTTTGCCACAAACAATTGCAGCTCAGAAAACCCATTTTTGTTTTATGTGTGATATCATATAATATATGATATGCCAGATATCCCTCGATTTATCAATGGCATTGCGCCAATTGTTGTCTCATCCCTTCCATTAACGGCAATTATTGGCAATTATCGAATTAAGATGTGCTGAAATCGGGAATGATGGGGGGGCTTTCGGTTCGAGGGGGACTTTGGCGATATCGCTGCCGTTAAATCCAATTTTCAATATATATATCTCTTCACATATACACATATCACAAACTCGGATACTCCACGAAAGTGGGCGTGGCGTCGGCATCCGATAATTTCTAATGAAAGTTGAAAAGCGCCGCTGGAAGCGATTGGCTGGCGTGTGAATCCCACAGCCAATCGAACTGCAACCGAATGCGAACAGGTTCGAAGCGCCATCGAACATCAAACTTCCTGGCGCCGAACTTCACGGCGATGCTGCGCAGTCGACTTCCGCACAGTGGGCTGAATTTAAATAACTCCAATTTGTTTGTGATAATAACGAAAGTAAATTGGCTTGAAAAGTTTTCCCATTCATAAATATATATGTATATATTTGTCAAACAAATAAGTGAATGGGAACATTCTTAAAAGCTTTTATATTTAATTTGAAAAGACGAAAGTAATTTACAATAATAAGTTCGAGGTAACGTTTTTGGCAAACAAGGCATCATTTACTTTCAATAACTAAGTATGTATTAACATTAAGTATTTAATGGCATTTTGCATTTTATTTATATTTGATTTGAAAAAAACGTAATAGGCAATTTGCCAAGTGGCTGCTATTTACCAAATCAATTTGATTAAGTTGAATATCTTAGGCAAACAACTAATTTGCATGCAAATGAAAGAAAACAGATCGCCGTTGCTTCTGATTAAAATTAATCAGTTTTCATATTATTTATATTTGAAATGTAAAACGTAATAGGCAATTTGCCAACAAGGAAATATTTACCAAATCAATTTGATTAGATTAATCTTCTTGGTCAAACAACTGATGTGTTTTTAGGAAAATTGAAATAAGACAGTAAAATTCGAAATTCGTTTTCGAAAGAGAAATTTTCGCGATCTTAACATTCTTACGATGCTTTAAATAGGTTCCTTGTAATATTTGCTGAACATGTTATTTTGCACTTTATTTATATTTGATTTGTTAAAACGTAATAGGCAAATTGCCAAGTGGCTAATGTTTACCAAAACAATTTGATTGAATTTTTTTGTTGCTTTCCCTTAATTTTGTTGTTGCTTTTGTTTGGGCAAATGGCCAACTGGCATTTTCCGCTTTTTGGCCCACTGTGCGAGGTGCGATGCAGCAGAAGAAGAAAAAACGAGAAAAAAAACTCGTGATCTGCGCTCTTTTCTCGCCTCTTTCCACTCCCGCTCGTTGCCTCTATGGGTGATCTCTTTTGCATCGCTCTCTTCGGCTGCCGGCAGCGACGCCAACAGCGGCGCCGGCTGAGACGTCGACGGCATGCAAACAGGATCTGAGCGTATATTACGTAGCGCCGGGCTTTAAGCCAACATCATTCCCAAGCGAACGGCCAGCGATCAACGTTTGGCCACCACAGCACTCGAGAGCGATAACGAGCAGCTGATTTTGCCTGATTTTAGCTGATTTTCATCCATTATCCATTATCTGGCATCGCAGCAAAAACAGCCAGAGCGGCAACAACAACAACAACTACAACTACAACTACAACAACATCAACAAGGGCATATCGCATCTCTCTCCCCCGCAACAACAACAACAATTATAATAACGATCTGTGACAAGAAAAGACAAAATAAAATTAACAAAAAAAAACAACCAAAATTTACAACACAAAAAAGTGAAGTGAACTCTCGGGCGCTCTCCCGCTCTCGCGACTCTCTCTCGCTCTTTCGGCAACTTCGGCTCGGGCTTTTTTCCGACTTCGGCTCCGGCTTGTAAATTACTTGCAAAGTTAATTTTAGTCTCGGCTTTTAATACCGTTTTAGTGCGTTTTCAAGTTGGTCGTGTGCTTTCCCACTCTCTGACAAAAATTCAATTTGATTTTTCAAAAATCCAATTCGAAACTAATCCAACACTTGATAAATATAAATAATATTTGAAATATTATTAAAACTGAATGTGACTTTTTTGGTTACCACTAACCATATATCCTCGTGACAAATTTTTTTTTTCGGATCCATTTTTTTTTCCCAACGGAAATGTAAACCATTCGCCCCCCAAAAAACAGCCCCCCTTAAGCTTCCTGCTTCAAAGTCCAGAACAAAAGCGCAACAAAATCCAATTACATAACATTTAATTGCCAAAAATATAAATAAAATTAAAATAAAAACAATAATATCATAATTCAGGAATCCGAAAACGCGCTCACCAATACAAAGGCGAACGCATTAAAAGACGGAAGTGCATTTTTTTTCGTTAAGCGGCAAAGCGGCGCATCCTGTTTTTTGGGCCTTCCACACACGCTCACGCACACACACGCACCCCGAACACAAGCAAACACACGCCAAACACTCGCATATACACGTACTCTGTGAGGACTGGGAGCCGCTCTCACGCAAAAGATCCACGAATAACGGTAAGTGGAGGTGCCTTTCTAACATTGCTTAAGGGATCTTTACGTATTTATATCCTTGAGAATATTGTAGGAGGGATTTATGTGTGTAAAATATGCTATTATTTAGTATTTTAAGAATAAGAATTGCATTTTTGTGTTTTAAGTTTCCAAGCTTTTAAAGCCTTGCTCTCTAATAACTTATATAATCGCAAAATGTGTTCAGAAACTAAAAACAACTTATAACCGATCTCAATCTGGGATTTCTTTCAAAATAATCGAAGCACTTAGACAGCATTTGCAACTATTAATCACATTACAAAAATACAGCGAACAGTCTTAATCATGAGAACTCATTTGCAGGCGCGAAAAAAGTAAGACAAAAAAAACGTAAGACCAACTGGCTGCCGCAAAATATAAATAAACAAATTGCATAAACTTTTGCGGCTTAGTGGGAGACTCAAAACAAAAAGTAAAGAAAAAAAAAATACAAAATAGAAACAAAATGAAACAACCGAACAAAGCAAAAGTGGAGGTGGTTAGCCAATTCTAATGAAAGCCAAGTGGGCGTGGCAAATGGGGTTGTTAGCCCCTTAAGTTGAGCGTAGAAATTAGTTCATTCTGATAATCTAATCGATAACCGATTATTTTAACTCGTAATAATTATTATTTACAGAGTTATTTATGTGGAACCTTAAGTAATCCTCTAAAAACTGTAAAAATACTTTAACTTTGTTACAGTTTTGCACCTAATTTATGGCCCAAACTTACGATAATCACTTTTCACTAGCTTATTTGAAAAAACTTCAGTTACTTTCGACTTAGGAAAGTGAATGACTTTCAAATAAAGGGCGGTGTGAGTTAATGAACCTGAAAATACCTTGGGAAGTGCGCTATTTAAGATCCTATGACCAGTTTTCAATTATTACATTGAAAACTTAAGCAAATCAATTGGAAAATAGAATATTTTATTATTACAAGTAAATCCTTTGATGGATCAGGTGAAAAACTGGTTCATAAACAGATTTTGTAAGAAATATTTAGGTCGTCTTTTGAAAAACGAAACACTCAGTTGAATTCCCTTACGTACCCGCACATCGTTATGTCGTTCAATTTGGCACAGATGGCACATTTTTGTGGGTGGTCCACACCTACACGCCCATCTATGGCCATGTGACGCGCTGTATCTAATGGATACGTTATTTTTTTTTCTCTTGGGATTTGGGGGATTGGGGGCTAGGATTTTAAATTTTGAATTTTGGCATGCGCGATGCAGAGACACGGGGCGTTATTTAAGCGCTGGCCGCGCATGCGCAGCTTGTCAATCGGCGTCGGCGGTGGTGGTGGCGGCTCACGGGGCTGCTTATATATATACTCATATATATATATATATATCTTATACGTATATAACTTATATGGCAGGCAGCTCACATCTGGCGCCCCGGATCAGCATAGAAAACTTTCACTGGGATTCACAGCGCGCTTTTTCGAGTTTTTTCCGCTTTTTTCGAGTTTATTTTTTCGCTTTTTTCGATAGCCAAGTCGCATGAAGATGCGTTGCAAGCGGATTTCCGCACACAAATTGCCCACTTGCAATGGCAATTTGCATAAATGCTGCGATAACAAATCACCTAGAAACAACTGCAGCTGACAAACAGAAATACTAATACTAACTTCTAATTAAAAGTGCTGCTGGCCGCCGCCGGGGCATAAAAAAAATCAAATCTAATTAACATTTTTCGAGCGCAGAGCGCAGCGCAGAGGAGAAGCTGAAAAAAAGTTAAGTAAATAAAGGTGAGAAAATCAATTCATGACGACAGCGGCGAGTCAAGTGCCCACTTGAGTGGAAAATCAATGCACTTCCGCAAAAAAAAAAATATTAGATAGAAAAAAAAACAAACACACTGCGAACGGCAAACAGAGGCAAACACCGAGATACAAATCAAACTCTATTTTTAATTATGAAATATTTATGGCACAATAATTGAAAAAAAAAAATAGCATTCATAACGGTACGGGCAATAGAACACGACGATTCTTGCCAGACTTATTAAGTCTTATTTAATGATCGGCTTTATTATTATTCAACCGAAAAGATATATATATACATCTAAGAGCAATTATTGCAACACTTTGCGGGCAATTAAAATTGGTTGCTTAATTAAACTATAAACTAAACAATTACATAACTGAATATTCAACGATGAGAACTTTAGGCAAGCAATCTGTAAATATTTTAATTAACAATTGTGTTGAAATATTTAATAATGTCGTAGATAGAAAATTACTTTATTACGCTATCTTGAGGCGAGCAAACCTTGATTGGCTTGCAGTTAACAAGAGACAAAAGCAAATTAAAAACTTAGAGAAAATAAATTATTTGCTTTAGAACAAATCTTTAAAATGACAATTCATAAATTGCAGTCATTCAAATTATCAATCAGGAACTTGACCATAAATAAGCTCTCCCACTGCCAAACATGGCCATAAATCGAAGACCCTGAACTAATCATCATTTAAAATAGATGCCCGAATTATTGTTCTTAATGACGAACGAGTTTCTCAGATAGTCGGCCATTAATCAATCAATTCTATAGCCAAGAAAGCGATAAAGATGGCAGCAACTTAAATTATGAACTCCGCCAGTTAAAAATTCAAGCTCAAAGGTTTCTATATATAAATATATATATATTTAGTTGGCCATATTGTTCAGAAGTTTTCCTTTGTTGTTGGGTGAACATTTTGTTGTTTTTGTTAATTTTCCTATATGGGTGATTGTATTTATTTATTCACATCTTTTTTGGGGGGGCTGTTGACGTTGCAGATATAAAACAAAACGAAACAAAACACAATGCTGATAATGATATTGTCTGACTTCTGCGGCTGCTATATGGCAGCTATATATGTTGTTGTTTTTGTTATTATTCATATCGTGTTAAGATCGTTTACACAACAACTTCGTCTTGAATGACAACCTGAAGACGACGATGTAGACGGGACAGCTTGACTTTATTACTCATCCGCACCGTGGTCGCTCTGCGACGCATCCTCGTTGGCACGACCAGTGCCAAATGGCCTAGCAAATATTGACTCTACGCGTCTCGTTAATATACTGAGCAAATCAAGTTTATGTAAACTACAAATTAGCATCACTGCCAAAAGCAAAATTGGAGCGTCTTCATGATGCCTTTTTGTTGTTATTCTTTCTTTATCACTTCATTAAAGTTGGCAACACGGCAAACAGGCGCGCCCATCATCATCATCATCATCATCATCATGATCATTTGGAATCTAGACATCAATGTGTAATTAGTCAACCGATTTCCTTGATTTGCATTTTTTCGGGGAAGAGCCCCCACAGACAGACATCTACTACCCTCTCCACCTGATAAAGAAGTTAGCCAAACTGGTTAACACAATGTGCGATGGTCAGAAACGACAACAGCAAAAATTGGCCAAAGTCGTGCTCGGACTATAGAATGAATTCACTGAAATCCATGTTTGCACGTAATCGTTTATTTTCCCGGAATTCGTTATAGCATGATTAAATAAGGAGAATAGTATCTGATAAAATGCGCCACATATTCGCCTGTTTTTTTTATAACCCGCACACGGCCTTTTGGCCACTAATCCCCGCTTTTATTTATTACACAATTTATGGTCTGCTCTATATACTTAGTTAAATTGTAATGGGAAGGTTGCTAGATAAATTCTATAACTAAAAACCTTGGTTTTATAATTTAAGGAGGAGGAGCATACTATATTCAAGTTTCCTTTATTAACTTTATGTAATCTTGTCTTAAGGACTTTTCTTTATTGATTACCTCTTAAAAGCGACCAACATCTTGCGGCCGCGGCAAGTGATAAAATCCATAGCCAACATTGCATAAGCCTCAAAAAGCCAGTAGCCATGATCGGTGACAAAAATAAAACTAAAACTTGTTTACATCCAATATGAATATATATATAAATATCTATAGATATATATATGGATCACATATATGTTTGTAGGTATCTTTTGTTGACGCTGACGCTGACGCTGACGAGTTTCTTTTGTGAATGAAATTAACATGGGATTGTAACCTTTAGAATCGAAGTTTCAAGGCGCTGGGAAAACTTCCAAGTCGGAGTTCAAAACTTTCCATTACAGGCTATACTGCTCGGCTGCTGATCTTGTGAGGATAATTTATTCTCAACGGGGGGATGGTGCTTTCGTCCAGCAATGAAATAGGGGTAAAATACTGTAAAAAAGAAAACACAGTAGCCAGCCCGGCCAAACGATCATTATCGTGATAAGGTGCGCTGTGAGTTTTATGATCAGGTTTTTATTGTTATTTATAGCCAAATAATTACCAGCTCCCTGCGATAACAGCGAGCCACCGTATGACCAGCCACGTCCGCTGATGAGCCCGAATCGGATTCGGAATCCGAATACGGGTATATAGCATCCAGACTCGTGCTAGATAAGATTTCGGTACTTCGCTATTCGTATTCGTATTCGCATTTCATAATATCACAGAGTGATATGATAGTGCTAGAAGCGTCTCAATGGCAAACATTGAACTTTGATGTGCTTTGCGATTATATAACATGTTCATTATGTCCCATTATGCCCCTTTTTTCCAATTTTTTTTTTTTTTTTTTTATTTTTTTTTTTTTTTTTTTGTGCTGATGAAGGCTTGGGAAAGGCCCATGTTTTGCGACGCAGAAAAATACGGACAGAAGCGTAGTAGAAATACCGAAAAAGCCAAACAATTGAGTTTAAGCCGCCGCAGGCTGTACAAACACCTAATGGCCAAAAGAGCAGAGGCGGATTTGTGATTTTTTCTTTTTTGATTTATTTGTCTCGAAAGACCGGATAGGTGACATGGCGTTATTTGTTTCAACAATCTTTTCACGCTTAAATTCTTAAATTTACTTAATTTATGAAGCATTTTGTTAGATTGACTTAGAAGATGATAATATATTGTTCTCCTGACAGCCATATAAGAAAGTGATATAGGCTTTATTAACTTTGTTTTGTA